AAAAGATGAAAATAAATTCAGACTTTTATCTTAAGACATCCCAATTTGAAAGCATTTAGAGTAGAGTATAAAGCTCTAATTTTTAGAAGTATTCTAGGCAATTATAATTGATGTAGTTCTGGAAATAGTGACTTACCTGATCTCTAAGGCTCCACTTAGTTCTGATATTTGTTTTTTGTTTTGGGGGATTTTGTTGAGACAGAGTCTCACTTTGTCACTCTGGGAAGAGTGCTGTGGTGTCATAGCTTACAACCTCAAACTCTTGGGCTCAAGTGATTGTCTCTCCTCAGTGTCCCAAGCAGCTGGGACTACAGGTGCCTGCCAGAATGCCCAGCTAGTTTTTAGAGATGGGGTCTTGCACTTGCTCAGGTTGGTCTTGAACTCCTGAACTCAAAGCAATCCACCTGTCTTGACCTCCCAAAGTGTTGGGATTACAGGGGTGAGCCACCACTCCCAGAACTAGTTCTGATATTTGAATGTTCCAAGTATTCTAATACATCTGATTATGAATCTGAGACTTAGTTTTTATGGTTGACCAATTCACCTGGTGTGTGTATCTGCATGCTCACAGCATGAACAGGTAGAACTATTCCTTATTTCAGGCAAAGCCCATTCCCAAAATTATGAATAAAATTTAGATAATAGTGAGGTTAAATTCACTGACAGATTCACAGAAGTTGGCAATGATAAGGCACTAAACTAGAACAACACTAGTGAGAAGAAAAGGGGAGGGGAAATTATTGCAATGAGATTTACATGAATTGGTGAGCAATTTATGCAGATTTGTGTCCACCTGAATGTCAAGTAAATGGTGAAAATATTTTCTAAGGTTTAGAATATCAAATGAAGAACAGACTTGGAAAGGAACGAATAAATTGCAATAAAGATAAATTACCTTTGAAATGCCTATCAGAAAGTCACATACGAGAGACAGGTGGCCTAATAAACTTTAGCAAGAAGTTAGAGTCAAAAATATAGTTTAGAATTTTCATGAGACAAGGCCCACTCAGGCAAATAGAAACCACACTGAATATGTGAGAAAGAGGGGATTTAATGCAAAGAATTGGCTGTATAGGTCCCAGGAAATTGAAAAGGCACTGAGAGTAGCAACTGTGCAAAGAAATATTGTCTTTAGACACAGAGGAACAAAGTAGGAGAGGCACTATCACTGGGCTAATGCTCAAAATTTTTTTACCTCCATGAAGCTAGAGCTTGAACTTGTGAAGATGGGGCACAGCACAGCTGGTGCTCAAACCTCTGAATAGGTGTGCCACATGAACAATGATTAAAATTGTAAGGAAGGAATGCTCCATTGCTGACTGGTTCACTGATAAGTGAGGTAGAAGCATCCTGTAGCCAGTGTTCAGACTTCTGAGGAGTAGAAGACATGGCCAGACATGAGCTAAAATAGCCAGGGCATACAGCAAAGCAGGTTGTAGCTCAGCTGGTACACTCATGGCCAAGGAAGAGCTAGTTCCTTTGAGGCATCCTTGTGAGGCTTCTGAGATAATTGGCTAGAGCTGAAGTCAACCACTGCTATTGCAGCTAAAGGTTTCATCATGTGGGAGCTAGAAACAGGAATAGGTACCTTCACACCTCCTGTTTTTCAATCTGCTGCTAATGTCTCTCATTAAAGGTGCTAACAGGAAGCTAACTGGCCAAGGAGTCTTGCCTAGGCAGTTTTCAGATTATCAGCACAGTGCCACAGAACAGAGTAGAGAAGGGAGGCTTGTAGCTCAGAAATGCTGGTGAAGATGTGAAGCCACATCATTGGTCTACAGGTGGGATGTGAAGCCACAGGAGTGGGTGGGATTTTTTGGAGATAACATCTAATAAAAAGTTGGATGGGACACAGGTGAATGCAATCCCTATGAAGTGAAAGTTAGACAATACAAGTAGAGAAGACTGAAAATGAGTAGAGAAAATGTAGAAAAATAGGCAGAAGACATAAGCCCTCACAGACAAGAGGGAGAGAAATGAAGAAGTAGGAGGTGGATCATCTTGGCCAAAAAGGTCCATGAAGATGAATACTGGCCACAGGTCACTGTATTTGGCCCTGGCATCTTTATTAAGAGGGCAGTAACAATGAAAGTAACTAAGAAGGTCCCTGGTATTTTTATAAAGAAAAATTCCAGTGGTATAATGAAGGCTGAAGATATTTCTAAAGATGGAGAAGGAAGTATGGTATGAAAACAGTGGAGTGGGAAATGTCCAGTATAGTTCAAGTCATTTAGCACTGACAGAAAAGAGAAAGAAGGACCAGGTGTGATGGCTCATGCTTATAATCCTAGCACTCTGGGAAGCCAAGGTGGGTGGATTGCTTGGGCTCAAGAGTTTGAGACCAGCCTGAGTTAGAATGACACCCAATCTCTAAAAATAGTCGGGCATTTTTAGCCAGGCAGTTTTTCTGGAACCTCTAGTCCCAGCTAATTGAGAGGCTGAAGCAAGAGGATCACTTGAGCCCAAGAGTTTGAGGTTGCTATGAGCTATGATGCCACAGAACTCTACCCAGGGCAACAAAGTGAAACCAGGCGTGGTAGCTCACACCTGTAATCCTAGCACTCTGGAAGGCCAAGGCAGGTGGATAGCTTGAGCTCATGAGTTTGAGACCAGCCTGAGCAAAAAATGAGACCCTGTCTGTACTAAAAGTAAAAAAAGAGACAGGATGATTGGTTGAGCCCAAGAGTTGGAGGTTGCTGTGAGCTATGACGCCACAGCTCTCTACCCAGAACAACAGCTTGAAACTCTGTCTCAAAAAGAGAGAGAGAGAAGGAAAAATAATAAAGGAGAAAGCCTAAATACATTTAGAATTTTTTTTTTTTGAGACAGAGTCTCCAGCTGTCACCCTGGGTAGAGTGCTGTGGCATCATAGGTCACAGCAACCTCCAGCTCTTGGGCTCAACCAATCCTCTTGCTTCATTTTTTCTATTTTTAGTATAGATTCCAACCAGCCAGCTTTGGTGTGTGTGGCCAGTGCCCCACTCACTGAGCCACAGGTGCTGAGCCTTTAGCTTAGATTCTTAAAGGCAATTCGTTTTTGGGGGGGTTTTATTTTTTATTGAATAGTAACTGTGTACATCAATGCACTTCTGGGGTACACTGTGGGGTCTCCACAAACAATCCAAAACACTTCCATCAAACTGGTCAACACACCCTTCACGTAATTTTCCTAGTTATTGTGTTAAAACATTCACATTCTATTAGGCAATTTGTTTTGTCTAAGATAACTGATGAGGAATTTCTGGAAAAAAGCACAAAAACTGAGACAGTTCCTCTGATAGAAGCAGATAACTTTACACATTTTTCTCTAGCATGGTTTTCAGAATAAAAGTAAAGCATAGCTCACAGCTCACACATTTTATTTCACATCTTAATACATCATATAAATTGTCTTGTCCCAGAAACTTTGTTTTATTTTGTTTTTTTTTTTAATTTGCATCTCTATAGGAAAGTGAAATGAATAGGTAAGGAGATTCTCTAGAGCAGAACAGGGGGATTTTTGTTTTCTTCAGTTCTGGGAGGATGTGCTATAAATCTTCTGTGATCAAATGGCCTATTAAAAATACTTTGTGCTGCCCTAAAGCAGGGATTCCAAATTTTGGCAAATTGGAACAAAGGCTTTCTTTAGTTAGCCATTGTAATGACCTTAAAAGGTCAAAGATCTCAGGATCACAACCAGGATTTTGGAAAATGTCCATATCTTTCCCTTTCTTTCTTTCTTTTTTCAGTTAGTTTCAATTTCTTTCTCTATCTGTTACCTGAGCTGCTAAGAAATGTTCCATCTTTAGGATTGGGTTTTGTTTTTCTGTCCTCTGCTATTTTATAGACATGTTAAGAACATAAAACCAAAAAGCCCAAAGTTTGAATACTCTTAAGTCCCTGCATGATCTCTTCATTGTAATGCCTCTGTTGAATTAGGTAACCTCTTGGGACCCTGTTGCTTAATTAGGCCATAATTTGATAAATTCTTACTGCAAATGGGAAGAAGAAATACGTTACCCAATCTATAGCCAATAATAATTTTGATACTAGATATTTTACAAAGACTTAGGGCTGGGTATAGTGGCTCACACCTGTAATCTTAGTACTTTGGAAAGCCAAAAGTGAAAGGATTGCTTGATGTCAGGAGTTCAAGACCACCCTAAACAACATAGCAAGATACCATCACTACATTTTTTTTTTTGAGACAGAGTCGCACTATGTCACCTTTGGTAGAGTGCTGTGGCATCACAGCTCCCCGCAACCTCAAATTCTTAGGCTTAAGCAATTCTCTTGCCTCAGCCTCCCAAGTAGCTGGGAATACAGGTGCCTGCCACAGTGCCCAGTTATTTTTTGGTAGTCATTGTCGTTGTTTGTCAGGCCAGGGCTTGATTTGAACCTGCCAGCTCTGGGTATGTGCCTGGCACCCTAGCCACTGAGATACAGGTGCTGAGCCTAAAAATTGTTTCAATCATATTTATCTATTTATTTACTCATTCACTTGATCAATCAACAAAAACATCAATAGGCCCTCTTCCAGGAACTGGGGGTACAAAGGTGAACCGAACACAGTGCCTGCCCTGAAGAAGCTCACAGCCTAGCAAGGGAAGCTTCCTGTATTATCAGAATCTGGTCTGACACAACTGCAGAGAATGCAAAATTTTGAGATAAAGAGTAGATCCAGAGAGGTTTTCCCATGATATTTTTTTTCCCCCAGAGACAGACTTTCATTTTGTCACCCTCGGTAGAGTGCTGTTGCATCACAGCTCATAGCAACCTCTAGCTCTTGGGCTTAGGCCATTCTCTTGTCTCAGCCTCCTGAGTAGCTGGGACTACAGGCGCCTGCCACAATGCCCAGCTATTTTTTTGTTGCAGTTTGGCTGGGGCTGGGTTCAAACCTGCCACCCTCAGTATATGGGGCTGGCGCCCTACCCACTGAGCCACAGGTGCCGCCCTTTTCCCATTGATATTACAGCTGGAGTCTCTTCACCTCTTTCATTCTTGTGGCTGGTGCTTAGCTTCTAATGTTTATTTCTTTTGCAGCAAAATGGTGCTGATTCAGCTCTGCAGCCCCCAATCTGGTCTTCAAAAGTGAGGCATTCAGCTTCACAGCGACCTTGCAAGTTTTTACAAAATGCTTGTCTTTGAATTCCTCCCCTGGCTAGGTGAAGAAAGAAATTGGTGTTTAGTTATCTATTAATTAGTTACTGGAAAGAAAAATTACATCATCCAAGCAAAATTCAAAATTCCCTGGGACCAAATCTCCTAGACATGCAGAGTATGAGTTGAAATATTAGTAAAAGCAGATGTTCCCTGAGCAACTGTGTCAAGCTCATGTCCTAGTACAATATAATCAACATCGTCATTACAGAGCCAATTAGGAAAAGCAAAAGAGTTCCCTCTGCCAAAATTACATCAGTGTTATATAAAAACAGGAATTTTCTTCCTGAGAGGGTAGCAAAATATTTTCTAATTCTAATAAACACTCCTTTCTAACAAATTATTTTTTCATATCTCCAAATTAATAGCTTCTGATATATAGCAAAAGGTAAACACTGTTATTAGATTATAGGAAGACTGATGATAGACCATTTGCCTTGGCATATGGTTTTGGTGCTAATCCTTGACACTCTGCAGAGAACATGAATGTAATTATGCATATAGCCCTAGCAAACAAATTTAGAGTGGCGTAGGCAACGTGCAGTCTTCAGAACACAGGATAAGTTGAAGAGAATAAACATACTACAAAAGAAGAACTTTGTGTAACATTGGAATTGTATATTCTTAGGAGAAATAATTGAAAGAGGTCATTTACTTTCAAAAGGAGCAATACTTATGTATTCTTGGAAAGAACAACTTTGGGGGTAAAGGGTGTGTGTTACCAGCCATGCATCTGAATTATTACCATGTGGAAGAAATGTTGAGTTTGTTAATGCCCAGTTTAGGACTAAGAACAATGGAAAGAAATTTTAGGGAATTAGGTTTCTGCTTAAAGTAATGGGAAATTTTTAAATTGTCTAAAATTGAACTCAGCATATTTTAAATTACAGATCACTGAAATTTACCCAACATCAGGGCAATCTGTTGGCCCTAATCCCAATGTGCCATGATGGAGAAGAGCCTTCTATCCCAATCTAGTCAACTTACCTATCTGGGGACTTTAACATGAAAGTGAAATAAATGTATATTTTTTCAATCACTCAATTTTTTTTTTTTTTTTTTGAGACAGAGTCTCACTTTGTCACCTTTGGTAAAAATCTATGGTGTCGTATCTCACAGCAGCCTCAAATCTTGGGCTCAAATGATCTTCTCATCTCAGTTTTTCATTTTTAGTAGAGACAGGGTCTCACTCTTGTTCAGGCTGGTCTTGAACCTGTCAGCTCAAGTTATCCACCTGCCTCAGCTTCCCAGAGTGCTAGGAATATAGGCGTGAGCCACTGCACCTGGCCTCTAAGTTTCTTTATAAGAACAAGTTAGCCTCTCCTCTAGCCCATTAATATAAGTTTCTTAATCTTCAAAATATTATTAATATCATTTATAGAAAGAAAATTGAAGCACAGAGTTTATGCAGTTTGTGAGGACTGAAGTGGAGACTGAATCTAAAATAGTTTGGCCTAATAACAGATGTGTTTGTTACTTCTTACCCTGATTGTTAAATTCACTTCCAACACTGAGATTCTATGTGATTTTTGTGATAATGATGGTCCTAATCAGTGCTTAAATCGTGCTTATTGTTAGAATTCAAACATGTCTGGGATGTCTGTGGGGAATATAGAGTTATTCAGCATCTACTGCTGTAAATTTGTCTAAATACACTGGAGTCTTGATTAAAGGGAGTGGAAAAGACAACTAAAAATGAGCTTCTCTTACCTGGAACATTGTCCCACAAAAAAGTTGAGGGCAGAAGCTAAGGAACTAATTTTACAAATGAGAATTTCATTATTGTTATTATTTTTTAAAACAGAGTTTCACTATGTCACCCTTGGTAGAGCTGTGGTATCACAGCTCACAGCAACCTCAAATTCTTGGGCTTAATCAATTCTTTTGCCTCAGCCTCCCATGTACCTGGGACTACCGGTGCCTGCCACAAAGCTGGCTATTTTCTTGTTGCAGTTGTCATTGTTGTTTAGCAGGCCTGGGCTGGGCTGGAACCTGCCAGCCTCAGTGCATGTGGCTGTCGTTGTAACCACTATACTACAGGCACTGAACCCAGATAAAACTTTCAAACATGAGGCTGTCATTCCTTGCTTCTGGTGTCTAGTTCAAGTCTTGTCTGTTTTCAGAAGTGCAAGGCAAATACCACTTTTCCAAAAGCCTTTCTGAATCTCCTAGTTAGAACCAAACTTTCCCTCCTGTGGCCTCTGTTTGTACTTTGCATCTTTTGTGGCATTTTATGAAAACTGTTTCATATTAAAGTTACTTGCCATCCTCCTATCTCACCCATTCACTTATTTATACCTTTTTTTTTTTTTTGAGATACGGTCTCACTATGTCACCCTCAGTAGAGTGCTGTGGCATCACAGCTCACAGCTACCTCATACTCTTGGTCTTAAGGGATTCTCTTGCTTTAACCTTCCAAGTAGCTGAGAATACAAGCACCCATCACTATGCCCAGCTATTTTTTTGTTGCAGTTGTTTGGCTGGCCCAGGCCAGGTTTGAACCTTTGGTATATTTGGCTGGCATCGTAACCACTGTGCTACAGATGCCAAACCTATTTATACCTTTTAAATTTACTGAATGCTTATGTACAATTTTGGTCAGTTTGTTTTTTGAACAATACAGAAATAATAGATGAATAAATCTAAAGCAAATTAAGGCCAAAGATGTACTTTAATTATATTTTTACTTCTTTGTTTTACCTCCCTTTATTATTCTAGCCAGAGAAATTTCTCATAAGTGGTAAATACACGTTTGTTATCTCTTGGTTTGCTAAGACTACTGAGTCTAGAATGGAGCATAAATAAGGGTAGAAATCTAGGAAGCCAAGAGGAAATGGACAGGGAGATTTATGATGCTTGGAGAGCCCATAAAAGGACAGGCTTCATAGCAGAAGGAATGAAGGATAGTTGAGGAAAATTAAGGATATAAAAGTTTCTCAGGAGTACAGTCCTGATTATATTGAGGAAAATGACACCACTTCAAGTGAGTCAAAGACTTAAGCAATAGAGATGCTAGTGGTTCAATGATGTAATTTTCCATCAACATGTGAGAGCCAGAAAGAAGTCTGAAATAATCTATGAATGAAAGATTTGGATCAAATACTCAGACTTTTAAAAAATATATTTAAAAAACCTATTAATGTAACTTTAGTTTAATTTAGGCTAAATTAACATATGTGTTTGGCATTTGCCTCTGAGATTTTTTTTCTGATTTAGAACAATCTCTTTAGCATATACTGAAGCTGGGTTCAAGATTACAAAAGAAGGAAAGAGATTAAAAGTAAAAAGAAATCTGAAACCCTCAGTAGGGCTATTAGGGAAATTAAATAGACATGCTTATGTTTGGATATGGTCCGTGTCAGTGTGGTCCCGTTGTTTTATGTATGAACTCAGGAAAAAATTTCCAGTGACTAGTTTGGCCTGGGACCTTTGAGAGATGGAGGGAGAAATTATGAACTATTTTGAACTAAGTAAAAGTCGAATGAGCTATTATGAACTAAGTAAAAGTTGAGTTTTCTTCTCAAAAGACAGATCATGAACAGATTGCCATCCTTACCTCTATTAAGATTTCCCTCTTACCTGGTAGAATTTGAGCAAGAAGAATGAGAGCAGCAAAAGTTAAGAAAAAGACTCTCATGGCTCCAGGCATCAGGAAGGAGATGGTGAAGAAGGTGCAGTAGCTAGAATCCAGCTGTTTTATCAGGGAAGTTGATTAAAACATATACTACTGCTCTGAAAGGACTGGAAGTCAACATTGGTTTTTCATATTCATTAAGAATGTACTAGTTTTCATGCTCCATTGAATAATATGTGGGCTGACAAATCAGATTTTACCTAAATTACATTTATGGGAGAGCAAGACAGAGAATCTGACTTCCTTCCTGGACTACTGTATTCTGTGGCTCTGCTTAGATTTCTTCCATTTCTCCTCCAAGCCCCACCCCACATGGTGTAAACTCTACATAGTCTAGTCACCAAGTTTTTTTTCTTCTTACCTAATATTTACATATAATTCACTCTTTTATAAGATTTATTTAGGAGTTACTAATTAGTGGCCATGTTCAGTTACTTTGTATAAGTTATATCAGATAAAAAAATTTATCTCCCTAGTTAGACCGTAAGCTCCACAGAGGGAAGCTTGCCTCTTATTCTTCATTTCCATTCATTCCTTACAGCAGTGCTTGAAAACAATATATTCTCAAAATATACATGGTTTTTGATTTATTCATTGAAAATTGCCCAGTCAGAGGCCAGTCATGGTGGCTCACACCTACAATCCCAGCATTCAGAAGGCTGAGGCAGGTGGATTGCCTGAGCCCACAGGTTCAAGACCAGCCTGAGCAAGAGTGATACCCCACCTCTAAAAATAGCTGGATATTGTGGTAGGTAACTGTAGTCTCAGCAACTTGGGAGGCTGAGGCAAGAGAATTGCTTAAGCCCAGGAGTTTGAGGTTGCTGTGAGCTGTGATGCCATGGCAATCTACCAGGGTCAAAAAAGTGAGACTCTGTCTGAAAAAAAATTGTCCCATTAGGGAAATTTATGAATACTCAAGCAATTAAATGGATTATTATTAAATGTTCAAAGTTTATATCGATATAAGATATTATTAACGACAATAACATTATTATTAAACATAACCATATTTCATGGAAAATAGTATTCATTCAACAAACACACATTAGGCAACTATCATGCACAAGTATACATTACTACAAAATTTTAATTTTGTCTTAAAGCAAAGGAAAGTCAATCAAGGATTTAAGTAGGAGAGTTATTTGAAAGACTACACATCAAATGACTGGGTTCATTCCTGGTAAAGTAGAGTGAGCTGCCAATATACTAATTCTCTCACCAATAACAAGTAAGACTCAACAAAGGTTGAGGAGAACTACCTGAAGGATATATAGTTGAAATGAAAGCAGGTATATTTTGGAGAAAAGATAAAACTTGGTTAAAATGGACAAACATAGAGTGATTTCAATGTGGCATGAAGAGGCTAACCCTAACAGGAAAATTCCTACTATCTTTCTAAACTTAGGACACAAATATGCTAAAAAGGGAACACCCACAGAAGAACAGCTCCAGGTTCTATGTGCAGACACTATTCTTGACGCTTGCTAGCCCTTGTACTACACAGACACAGGACTCACGCATGTGTCAAAACAACCAAGTTAAAAACAAAAGCAATGAACAAACAAATAAAACCCTCACAACTGAGCTCTTGCCCATCACAGACATGACAATGTTTACAATTTTTTTCTTTTTCTTTTCTTTTCTTTTCTTTTTTTGAGGCAGAGTCTCACTTGGTCACCCTTGGTAGAGTGCCACAGCAACCTCAAACTCTTGGGTTCAAGCTATTCTTATCTGAGTAAAAATAAAATAAAGTTTTGCCTCTTAATTTATTTGAAATTTGTGTGATTTTTTCAAGCAAAAACTATAATGTTCCATCAAATTATGGGTTTATAATGCATGTAGATGGAATACATACAACAAATGCAGCATAAAGAAGCATGAAAGTAGAAAGAATGATAATTGCCTATATAATTACAAGTGTAAATGATATACCTATAAACTTTGAATAAACTGGATTATTAACTTTAAGTAGATATAAAACTTAAATGAGGATGGCTTGGCTCCTTTAGCTCAAGCAGCTAGGGCATCAGCCACGTATACCAGAGCTGGCGGGTTTGAATTCAGCCTGGGCCTGCCAAACAGCAATGACAACTACTACCCAAAAATAGCCAGGTGTTGTGGTGGGCACCTGTAGTCCCAGATACTTGGGAGGCTGAGGCAACAGAATCATGTAAGCCCAAGACTTGAAGGTTGCTGTGAGCTGTGACACCATGGCACTTTACCCGGAGTGACAGCTTGAGGCTCTATCTCAAAAAAAAAAAAAAATGAGGACGTATACAGATATTTCCAGTGACACAACTAATTATAATGCAAAAATTGATAGCTGAGAAGGCAATAAGTGAATAATGGAATTCTTGATACAAATATTCAAAAAATCTTAAGAAAACAAGGAGTAAAAGAGGAATAAAAATCAAAGAAAACAACATCACCAAAGATAGCAAATTAAGAGACTAAAATCTAATAATATCATTAATTATTCACAAATAATAATGGATCAAAATTTTCCATTAAAAGGCAGAAATAAGACCAGGTGCCATGGCTCACACTTATAATCCTAGCACTATGGGAGGCTAAGGCGGGTGGATTGCCTGAGCTCAGGAGTTCCAGACCAGCCTGAGCAAGAGTGAGACCCCATCTCTAAAAGTAGCTGGCATTGTGGTGGGAGCCTGTAGTCCCAGCTCCTTGTGTGGCTGAGGCAAGAGGATCCATTAAGCCCAAGAGTTTAAGGTTGCTGTTAGCTAAGATGTTGTTAGCTAAGATGTCACAGCACTCTACCACGGGTGACAGAGCGTGACTCTGTTTCAAAAAAAAAAAAAGCAGAAATAGATGAAACAGGAAGAGAATGTTGGGTAAGGAGAAAAAAGGTAACTGACCAAAAATACAAATGAATCATTAACATGTTTTCATGCTATTTGATTGAATTAAAGGGGGAAATATACAATTCCACAATTATAGTGGGAAAAAATGAACTGTTTTCTTAGTAATTGATAGAATAGTTGGAGAAAAATTACCAAAGATATGGGTAGTCTGAACAACACGTCAATAGAATTTATATTTATAGAACACATTGTAAAACAACTTTTTATTTCTATAGGATTAGTAGTAACACCCACTTTTTCATTCATGGTTTTAGGAATTTATATCTCTCTTTTCTGTTTTTCTTAGATTAGTTAGATGTTTCTCAATTTTGGTGCTAATTCGAAAGACAAATTTTAGTTTTAGCTTTGTTGATTTATTTTCTCTATTGTTTTCTTTGTCTCTGCTTCAGTTACTTCCACTCTAATACTTATTATTTTCTTCCATTTGCTTGCTTGGGTTTAACTGGCTCTTATTTTTAGCTTCTTAAGATGGAAAGTTAATTTGTTGATTTGAAATATTTCTTCTTTTTAAATATTGGAATTCATACCTATAAGTTTTCCATAGAGCATTGATTTAGCTGCATCCCATAAGTTTGGTATGTCATTTTGTTTAAATTTCCCTTCCCTCTCTTTCCCTGCTGCTGCCACGTAGGGCAGAGCCATAGAATTGGGTGAATTCAAGATTCAGCGTCACCCCTAACCCTCCACCATGGCTTAGGAATGAATTGCTGCTGGAGGTGTAATGGACATTAACACTGCTTTACAAAAGTACAGAGTGGAGTACCCTCATCCACGACGGCTTTGCACATGGAATCCGCAAAGCTGCCAAAGCCCATCATTGTGTGCTTGCATACAATGGTGATGAGCCTATGTATGTCAAGTTGGTGGAGGCCCTTGGTGCTGAACACCAAATCAACCTAATTAGGATTGGTGACAACAGAAACTAAGGGAATGTAATGCAAGCACACAAAGATGGGCTTTGGCAGCTTTGCAGATTCCATGTGCAAAGCCGCCTTTGTAAAATTGACAGGAGAAATCCAGTAAATCAATTGGTTGCAGCTATGTAGCAGTTGAGGACTATGGCAAAGAATCTCAGGTCAAGGATGTCATTGAAAAGTACTTCAAATGCAAGAAATAAATAAAACTTTGGCTCATGAAAAAATAAAATATAATATAAATAAATAAATTTTCATTCCTTTTAAAAGTATTTTCTAGGATCCCTGGTGATTTCTTCTTTGACCAACTATTTATTTGAGTATATTGTTTAATTTGACATATTTTTACCTTCCCAATTTTTTTTTTTTTTTGAGACAAAGCCTCAAGCTGTCACACTGGGTAGAGTGCTGTGGCATCATAGTTCACAGCAACCTCCAACTCCTGGGCTTAAGTGATTATCTTGCCTCAACCTCCCAAGTAGCTGGAACTACAGGTGCCCACCATGCCACCTGGCTATTTTTTTGGTTGTAGTTGTCATTGTTGTTTGGCAGACCAGGCTGGATTCGAACCCCCTACCTCTGGTATATGTGGCTGGCACCTTAGCCACTTGAGCTACAGCCACTGGCCTACCTTTCCAATTTTATTTCTGTTATTTCTCTGTGTTCAGAAAATATACTTTGAATAATTTCAAGTTTTAAATTTATTGAGTTTTTCTAACATAACATATGCTCTATCATGGAGAATATTTCATGTAAACTTGATAGGAATGTGTATCTTGCTGTTGGTGGATAGATGCATGTCTGTGAGGTCTAATTGGTTTGCAATGCTGTTTAAATCTTTTTTTGTTTTTTTTTTGAGACAGAGTCTCAAGCTATCACCCTGGGTAGAGTGCCGTGGCATCACAGCTCATAGCAACCTCCAACTCCTGGGCTTAAGTGTTTCTCTTGCCTCAGCCTCCCAGTAGCTGGGACCACAGGCACCTGCCACAATGCCCAGCTATTTTTTGGCTGCAGTTATCATTGTTGTTTAGCAGGCTTGGGCCGGTTTGAACCTGACCCCTTGGTGTTTGTGGCTGGTGCCCCGCCAACTGAGCTACAGGCACTGCCTAAATCTTATATTTTCTTAATAATATGTTTTCTAGTTGTTCTATCCATTACTGAAAGTAGGTTTTGAAATCTACTACTATCATTGTTGAATTATCTATTTTTTTAAATTTTGGATTAATATGAGGGTACAAATGACTATGTTACATGAATTATCTATTTCTCATTTTCTTTCTGTTAGTTTTCACTTTCTGTATTTTGGGGATCTGTTTTAGGTGCATATATGTTCATAATTGTTATTTACCTCAACATATTGACTCTTTTATTACTATAAAATGTGCTTTTTTTCTCCAATAGCAATTTTTTTACAATTCAGATTAATATGAGGGTACAAATGTTTAGGTTACATTGTTTTTGTTTCTAAGATAAAGTTTAAGTTGTAGTTGAGCCCTTCACCCAGGTGGTATCCTGAATACCCTCACATTGTATACATTATGTGAGTACCCACCCATTGCCCTTCCTTTTCTCCCTTTCCCTTCTGCCCCACCATCTTACCCTCAGTAGAATATACTTGTGTTTTTCTTTCATAGTTATTTATATAGCAATTTCCCCTTATGGTCTGTTTTGTGTTCTATTAATATAGCCACTAGAGCTCTTTTAAAATTATTATTATTAAATGCATATCTCTTTGGGTCCTTTTACTTTAAACTTTTGTTTCCTTGAATCTAAAGAATATATCTCATAGATAACATAGAACTTGGTCTTTTCAAAAATCCATTTTGCCTATGTCTACCGTAGTGCTTAGTCCATTTACATTTAACATAAATATTGATAAAGTAATTATGTTACTGCCATTTTACTATTTGTTTTCTAAAGGTTATGTTTTTAATCCTCTCTATTTCTCCATTACTTCTTTTTTATTTTTTGAGACAGAGTCTCACTTGTCACCCTCAGTAAAGTGTCATGGTGTCATAGTTCACAGCAACCTCAAAGTCTTGGGCTCAAGCCATTATCTTCCCTCAGTCTCTCAAGTAGCTGGGACTAAAGGCACCCACCACAACACCTGGCTATTTTTAGAGGTAAGATCTCACTCTTGCTCAAGCTGGTCTTGAACCTGTGAGCTCAAGCAATCCATCCACCTTGGCCTCCCAGAGTGTTAGGATTACAGGCATGAGCCATCATGCCCAGCCCATTACTTCTTTTTATTAATGTTAAATAGATATTGTGTAAGATACCATTTTTATTTCCTTACATTTCCTTATGTACTTTTCAGTTATTTTGATATACTTACCCTGAGTTATAATTAATATTATAAGTTATAACAATCTAGTTTGAATTAATAATCAACTTAATTTCAATAGTAGACAAAAACTTTATGTAGCACAATTTCAACTACCCCTCCCCCATTAGTTCTACTAAAAAAAATTTAGAGAGTTTTGAGATGATCTTGCTGGCCCTGAAAAAGAAGCCTGCCTTTTTTGAAAGGAGTCATAAAGCCAGGCATGGTGGCTCAGGCCTATAATCCTACCTTTCTGGATGGCTGAGGCAGGAGAATTGCTTGGGCTCAGGAGTTCAAGACCAGCTTGAACAAGAGGGAGACCATCACTTCCACTAAAAATAGAAAAATTAGCCAGACACTGTGGTAGGTGCTGGTTGTCCCAGCAACTCAGGAGGCTGTGGCAAGAGGATTGCTTGAGCCCAAGAGTTAAAGGTTGCTGTGAGCTATGATGCCACACCATTCTACCCAGGGTGATGGAGGGAGACTCTGCTTCAAAAAAAAAAAAAAGGGAAAAAAAGAAAAGGAAAAAAAAGGAGCCATGGGACAGAAACTAGTGTTGTTCAGGTTGACTTCTCTACATGATTTTGGAGGAGGATCTCTTGCCTCAGATGAGATCACAGACCAGTTAACACTAATTTCAGTCTTATGAAATCCTGGGCAAAGAACATAAACACACAACACAGACAAGTAAGCTGCAAAATTTGTGAGATAGTAAGTGCTGTTGAAGCTGCTAAGTTTATGGCATCTCGTTATACAGTAAACCAAATGACTATAGCAGTGTTACATGACTATATACCAACTATGGCAGCAACAAATGACTATAATCAACTATAGAATCATTTTAAGGTGAATTTCTTTTGGAGGCAAATTTATGTGTTCTCTCAAGGCTCCTGTGCAGGTCACAGTATTTTTCAGTTTCCTGAATAATATTAATATTGCAATTTCCTGATTAATATTCCTTCTAGCTGATCTCTTATAAATTTACCTCAACTCCCTCTTTCCAGGGCTATATCTTTAAGAACACTTTATACTAAGTCCCTTTAACCTAATATACCACATCTTAGGCTTTTTTTCCTTTAGGATACTTTCAACCAAGGGACCTTGTATACCATTTATTTGGCCCATGGGAATCACACCCCTCGTCATGCCTAACAAACCACTATAGTTACTCTTGCTGTTACTCTTTTCTTGTCCTGCCACTGTGGGCAGCTCCAGCCACAGCTTTCTGCCTGTAGATATTTTCACAGGCATGTCAGAAGTGAGCACCATGTGGAAATTTTCAAGTAGCCTTCCTGAAGTCCATCCCATAAAGGCTTGGTGAGGAAGTAACATTTTTCTCATGCTTCCCTTTGAGAGGCAGAATGAAGTCACAAGCATAGCACATCCACACAGTTTACAAAGAAATATTCTTCCCAGACATCTTTAGAATTTTTCTATGCCTTCAAATAGGCATAGAAGGCAAGTGTCTGAAGGCACTTTTTGTGGTCAGTTCCTTGCTAATCCTGCAATTGTGGTCCAGTACCTCAATTGGGAATGTGGGAATTAATGATAATGTTTTCTCCTCCATCTTTTGGGGCTTTAACCAAACTAATCAACCTTGCTACATAGGCATTATCATTCTCTTTCAGGTATTGTGAGGAAGCTTTGAAATGAAACCCAGAGCCAAGAAGAAGTAATGTGTGGTTAGCATAATAAGACCATAACTACAATTTTAAAAATTAGTTGGGTTAAATTCATGCTCAACAAGAGAGTTAAGAAAACTAAATAGGGTGGATATACTTTATGAGAAAATCAGAAGCCCTAGATCTCTTTTCTTCCTACCCATTTACCTTAGACCCACCCATGGTTCAGAGACCTTCTTCTTCATCAGCTCCTGCAGAAAATGAGACGAGGGATCCCATGGGATCAACTGATCTGAGGAAACCATCAACCTCTAGTTGATATCTAAAAAAGCTGAATTTACACATAACAAGAAATTAGTGAGGATCAAGACTTTATTCTTTATAAAGAACTAGGTGTTTCAGGGAAGAAGGAGACATTATATGGAAAGACCTAAAAGTACAGAAGAGAAGAGAGAGTAGAGAAAGAAGGGGGGTGACTTGTCATGAGGTGCGTATGCTGCATCATACACCATCAGACTCTGGCTACTACACAAGGTCATTACAGAGGTGACATCAGGGCACAGCCACTGGTCTATCACTTTGTATGTCTTTGAGACATGTGCATGAATCTTTCCATTAAAAAAACTTCAGTAAGCATCCAGACAATTTTCATTTTTCTTTAATTAAGCAACATGGGATTTGAAATGGGTGAGGAATATCCCAGTTGTGTGATGTTCTGACAGCCCTCAGCTGCACCCTCACTGTGGATACCTGGAGAGGAAGAACATCTACCTATAAGTCACCTGGTTGTTCAGCTGTAGGACCTCAAGACCAGATACCACACTTCTCACCTCCCTCCGGTAATTTCTGTTGAAATGAAGGAAACACTTAAGATTTCACAATTGGAAGGCCAGTGATCATATGTAAATAGACCTGAAAATAGAGTGAACCTAAAAGTTGTATCCTTCAGGGTCCTTACACCAGGTCATTCCATAGAGAGAATTTAATAAGGACAGCTGACCATGAAGTGTTGGAAAAAATAAAAAATGCAAAGCTGGACTACTAATACAACCCTAAAGATAGCCACAGATGAAACCATGACAAACTTATGATTTGAGGAAAATAAAGGGAAAATGTGGGTTGGCAGGAGCTGTGAGTGAGACTGCCAGGTGGGAGCTGAGAATACAGATGCAAGGAATATCCTTTGAGGTGAGCCAGAGAAGAGAGATAGTAGGAAAGAATTCCCCAAGTTTTCCCTTTCTTTGATCTACCATTCACCTGGGAGACACTTGCATTGACTGAAACCAGCCAGAAATCAGGAATCCTGGAAAGTGTAATTCCCATTGAATAGTGCCCATTTTATAGGAAAAAGCAGGAAAAGAACAAAGAATGGATCTGAGCCCAAAGAGGCAAATAATATACCCAAATGTTGACAAAATATCAGTCTCACATGTTAAAACTGAGTGACCAAATTTGAGTTACTGGTCATAAGGCTGATAATTTTGACCTTGATTTTGTAAAGTTACAAATTTTGTTTCACAAGCAAAAGTTATACAGTTAATCATTTTTGTACATTCCATACTGAACATTTTTAATTAATCTCTAATGATTTTATTTTGGATGGATGAAAAGAAAAATGCAAAGTTGGTGCCTTAGGCATTAACTGAGTAGATGTGAATTATTTTAGAAATATACCAGAATCAATGAATGGCAATATATTGCCATACCAAGAAATGACACAAATACCAAACTTTCTTATATTCAGTTGAATAACTACAATAACATAGATGTGGATGCCACTTCCATTTATCTATTAATTACATGATAATTAATACATGTAGCTAGATACACAGAATATGAGTTGGTGTTCACAGCATTTACAGGTTCCTAGTTATGATCCTGAGGAAATAACAACCTCTTAAATCTCCATTTCTTTAAATATAAGTAGGAATAACAAAAGCTACCTTATAAGGTAATCTTGAGTCATATGGGAAAAGTATAAAATATGGATTCACAAATTATGTTACCCTACAAGTATATGACTGAGTAGCTACTACGTACCCATTCATGTCTTGATTTTTTTAAAGATTACCTTTAGAAATAAAGCAAAGAGACAAGGAGAAAGAGAGAAATCACAACGATCCCGAAACTCACTCACCATGTGACTTGGATAAGCCACATAACTTCTCTTGACCTACCTTGAATGTCCAGTCCCACTTCAAAAGCCAAAAGAGCATTGGTCTGGATTATCATAACCTCTTCTGGCAGCAGAAAAAATTCAACTTACAGCTTCCTTCTACCTTCTCATCCTCCAAGCACATCTTCCTGCATTTGCCCCGACCCAGCCTACAGGGCTCACAAACAGCAAATCCACCTGTGCCAAGAAAGAACTGCTGATATGGCTTTCTAGAGACTCCCTAAAAATGGGGGATATATCCAAGGCCACCAAAAAATTGAGGGTTTTTATGCATGATTACAAAGAATATTTTCAAGACACCACTGCTGGTGGGAATGCAAGCTAATACATTCCTTTTGGAAAGAAGTTTGGAGAACACTTAAGGAACTAAAAGTAGACCTGTCTTTCGATCCTGCAATTCCTCTATTAGATATGTATCCAGAAGGCCAAAAATCATTTTAAAACAAAGATATTTGCACCAGAATGTTTATTGCAGGCCAGTTCATAATTGCCAAGTCACGGAAGAAGCCCAGGTGCCCATTGATCCGTGAATGGATTAATAAACTGTGGTATATGTATACCATGGAATACTATGCAGCCATAGAAAAAGATGGAGACTTTACCTCTTTTAAGATCCACACTGATGGATCTGGAACATATTCTTCTTAGTAAAGTATCTCAAGAATGGAATAAAAAATATCCAATGTACACCAATATATAATCATCCACACTTTCATATGAAGAATAAAATACAACTATAGAGCAGGGTGAGGGGAGGGGTGGGGAAGGCCAGGTAGAGGGAGGGTAATTGGGGTACCTCAAGGATACATGTCAAATCTATTAAGGGTAGAGTATAAATGTCATAACACAATGATTAAGTAAGTGAGGTGAAGGTTATGTTAATCAGTTTTATGTAAGCACTCCAAATTATATATTAAATCAGCACATTGTACCCCATAAATGCATTGATGTACACAGTTATGATTCAATAACAAAATTGTTAAGAGAAAAAAAAACATAGGCCAGATTTTTCAGTGAGCTCATGCCTTTTGTAATATGGAGTTGGAAAGAATAAATTCTTAATGAAGAGGTAATCACAATTCCTATTCCCCAAGTGTTTATAATATTACATGGATCAAAAGCATCCCATGGGCAGGCAAAATAACATCTACACTACAGAACTAAAAAAATGCATACTTGATATCACTGTGAAGTTTGCCAGATGAAAATGAAGGGGATACCATGTGGTTCCAGACAGATCCTTAAAGATGGAGTTAAGCAACTTAGATTCAATTCTCACGAAAAGAGTTCTGTAGTCTATTCATTGTGGATTTTCTGTAACTATGTTGTGTTTTCTCTGAACCATTCTTTTATTTGAGCCTCTTCAACCAACATCATGCATTTATTTTTGCTAGATTTAGGAGAAAAGCTCACAGGAGATGTGCAGGCTTGTTCTCAGAGCAATGCTAATTGGCTTGGACAAGATTAAATCTATGGCCTTGGTTTAGTTAATCTCATGAGCTAACAGAAAAGATACAGGGTCCAAATCTCTACAGCTGAATTACAATCTAGCAATAAAGACATTTCTCTGTGATATTGAAAAAATCCAAATATAATACTCGGAACAAGAGGAAAGAAGAAAATAGTGTTAGTGGACTGATACCTTAGATAATTATATTTTCACTACTGTCTCTAGCCCCTCTTTCTCTCCAGAAGTCAGAAATAGCTAATAGGGCTAGAGTTCCTAAAAGGGAAGGAAAAATTATATACAAAGGATTTAACTTACCTCCTGGAAATGGCTGGGAATAATCAATTCCTGCCCGGCACTCTAAATTCAAAACAATACACATTTTGAAAATTAAAGTTGACATAGGAAAAAATACTATATAGAGCAGTATTCCCAACTTTACACATGTCATGGGATGTCAAGAGATAGGATATCACAGACTGGCAATCTTGCTTCCATTCTCTTTCTCTAGGCTAGCACTCCTGATAGCCAGGAAGACCACGTTAACACAAACAAAAGGTAAAGTATCACATGCAGTTTTCTCTTAGACAATGCCCCAGCAGGCTAAGAAATCCCCATGAGAGGCACCATGAAGGGTTGATCTTTTTTTGTTGCTTTAGCTGTAGTTTTAAAAATATGGAATGCTTCACAAATTTGCATGTCATCCCTGTGCAGTGGCCATGCTAATCTTCTCTGTATCGTTCCTATTTTAGTATATGTGCTGCTGAAGCAAGCACAAAAGGTTGATCTTTACTGTCAATTTCAGGGTGATAAATAAAAGATACATCAAGCTTTATCATCTGCCCCATCAAACTCCTTTCCATTTGCATTTACCTGATAGTAATTGAACCAAAATGAAGGACAAAGTAAAAACAAAATAAAACATCTTCCTGCTCAAAGCCATCTTTAAGGGAAGACTCTAGAGATTTGGGATTTCTTTGAGAAGAGAAGAGGTGCATTTATACTTAAAAGGAATGGGATACTCTCTTGGTCAGTGAAGTGAATCAATAAAGAAAGTACAATTATATGCTCCATTTCTCAGCATCAAAGGCTGACATCATGGACAACAGCGCTGGGCACCCATTTTACATTTCAGGGAGTCTTACTGATGTCGTGGAAGAACATCAAGCTAGGAGTTGAGAAACTAGGAGTTAGGGCTTGCTGTGGTTACTCAAGGACAAGAAGCTACTGACTTCCATTTTCTGGGAGAAAATAAGGAGCAACACACAAATTCTGCCTGCCCCTCATGGTTGTTGGAAGGGTCTAGTACGATTATAATTGAAAAGTGTTTTGAACATGTAGAATGCTTATGGGCCTGGTACCCTTACTAGCTCAATAAATGTGGATTCTTATTTTCCCAGTTTTCATTTTTGTTGTTCAAAAACACTATAGGGCAAAAGGAAGAGGGAGCAATCATTTTACAAATTGGCTCCAAATCCCTGTGCCTGTGATGCCTTGACTCCAGAAAGTAAAGCTGTAATTATCATGTATCCTTAATTCATTAAGAACATGGATCTCAAAAGTCATATTCATATCATTGCCCCCCTCATATGAGTTGCTTATATTTACAAGGTCAGATAGTTAAGTTTACAAACTCATCCTAGAAAAAGTGCTACATACTTCACTGCTGAATATCACTACACTCACCTTTGAGATACTTCCCTAGGGAAGCTATGCACCAACATCAGTGCCTAGTCCACCCTTCAAAGCTCTTTTCTAGGATGAGTTCATGAGCTTTATCATCAGATGACAGCTCTGATGGCCATTCCAGTAAAAGATACAATAATGGTACATCACAAGGCATTTGAGAAGATTAACTGAGTCATGTAAAGTGCTTAACATAGTGCCTGGCTATTATTACTAACACTACTTTGGCATTTGAGTGGAACTTTTCTGTAAACTCTTTTTCAAGTTCATTAATTCATAATGAACCTTTTCCTTTTGTACCTAACATGAGTGGAATTACAGAGAAAACACCAGCACACTGTTTGAATTGAGTATGGGGTCCTTTATTGGCTGGGTGACTGAGAAAGTTTCACACCTAAAGATTCTCAGCACTTACATGACAGTGGAAGAAAGGTTTTATACCTTTATTTTAGCTGAGTGGTGGGAGAGTGATGGACTCCTTAGAGGGAAATGAGGCCTTGCAAGGTTAGAGCAATAGGATGGGGAGAATTGGTTAGTTACCAGGGGAATCCAGGATAGGAATGTGATTTTACAGGGGTCTGTTGTAACTCTGGGCTAATACCCTGTCTCTGAAGGATATGTTTATTTAACAGCCCATTTCTGCAAGGCCTACATGCTGAAGAGGGTACTGCAGGAGAGGGGGAAAGAGAGTGCAAATTGGGGTCCATTTGGTCTTTTCTTTTCCCCACTGGTCTTATGTCCAGAGTCAAATCATTGACTCATCTTGTGCAGGAATTTGGCTGTACCAAGTTCTTATTGTTATGAGTTTTACCACGGCTATTTGCCATTGAATTAAATTTATTATCTACTTGAGGATACATGATCTTCTGAGAAGTTGTAACAGGAGAAAAATAACTGGTCTTGTCAGGATGGTGACTAAAGTAGTCTCCCGGTTTTTTGTTTTTTGTTTTTTGAGACAGAGTCTCACTATGTCACCCTCAGTAGAGTGCTGTGGCATCACAATTCATAGCAACCTCTAATTCTTGAGCTTAAGCGATTCTCTTGCCTCAGCCTCCCAAGTAGCTGGAATTAGAGGCACCCACCACAATGCCTAGCTATTTTATTATTGTTGTAGTTGTCATTGTTATTTGGCAGGCCTAGGCTGGGTTCAAACCTGCCAGCTCCTGTGTATGTGGCTGGTGCTCTAGCTGCTGAGCTATAGGCGTTGAGCCCACCCAAGGGTTTTAATCAAATAAGCTTTAGAACCAGGACTGGGAACTTTCTCGCTCCTTCTGCTGCAGCACCTTTGGTGGCATCAAAACTTTGGAGTTGCCTGTCTGGGCTTTCCTAATTCCCTAGTTTGGACCAGCATTTAGATTTCAGAGACTATGACTTCTCTCAGATTCTCTATTCATACTTTAATTGTACCGTGGTGGGGGGCTAATATATGTGGATTTTCACTTTTCCCTTTGTTACCTGTTGAGTACTGTATCTGATTATGAATGCAAGCTCCCTTCTGGATGTCTTCGTATTCATAAAAGCTATAAAGAAGTCACCTTTTGTCCTATTTCAGTGGTGTGGGTGCCCTGATCACATCAGTCCTCCCCTTTTCCCAAAGTTCAAAGTTCAATTAAGACAAGTCTCACAAGGAGTTTTCTCAGGCTTCAGCCATGTGTTGAACAGCCAGCTCCTAGCATGTGGCTGGAGCAGGGCTTGTTGACTATCTTAAAAGTTACCTTTGTGGCTCGGCGCCTGTGGCTCAAGTGGCTAAGGCGCCAGCCACATACACCTAAGGTGGCAGGTTCGAATCCCCAGCCCGGGCCCGCCAAACAACAATGATGGCTGCAACCAAAAAATGGCCAGGCGTTGTGGCGGGCGCCTGTAGTCCCAGCTACTTGGGAGGCTGAGACAGGAGACTCGCTTGAGCCCAGGAGTTGGAGGTTGCTGTGAGCTGTGACACCATGGTACTCTACCGAAGGGGGCATAGGGGCTTTTTTTAAAAAAAAAAAAAAAAGTTACCTTTGTTTCCTATGGGACAGTAAAGCTCTTTTCAGCCAGCTGTGATGAATCCAGGCAAGGATCCTTTCTATTTTCACTGCTGTGTGTGTGGTCAGGATGATGGTTTGGTTTAAGGGGGACTGGGTTCTGATTCTTGACTTAGACTTGATCCCCTTGATCCCCTGGACAGAAAGGATGTACAGATACAAAAGACTAAACAGGGCATGGTTAATTACCCAAGTGGAGATCTTCCTTGCTACTCTTCCTAGGGCTTCTAACTACAGGTTCAATTCAGTCTCTTCCAGTTCTTTTAGGAGTCCTTGTGGAATTGCAGAGGATTAACAAAGGCCTGTTTGAACAAGACCAGTGGCAAGGCATGTACCCAATTAAGCTTTGTTTGCTGGCAGAGTTTACTGATTCCTGCTCTTATGGCCCTGTTCATACACTCTACCCTGCCCTAGCTTTGAGACCTACATGTCACATATAGTTTTTAGGTGCTATTCAAAGCTTTAGCTATCATTTGTACTATTTTTGTTATGAAGAATAGCTCATTGTCAAATTTAAAGTGGAATTATAACCTAAATCCTGGAACAATTTCTCTGGGCAACACTTTCACTACTTCAGGAGTCCTCTTTATCTTGGTGGGGAAGACATCCATCTATTCCTAGTGCATGCAGATCAGAACAAGTAAGCACCAGTTTCCATACATCTGGATAACTCAGTATAATCCATTTCCACGTCTTCAAAAGGGGCTTCCCTGTAGGATTGAGTTTCAGGTGCCAGGGATGGCAGAGATGGTCCATGTCTAGCATTGTGTTGGTGGCATGTCACACAATGCTAGCTTTCTTGGCAAGGGTGACCAAAAGGGGAATGTAAAAGTATTCCTTCAGAAGCCTCTTCATTTTCTTTTGCCTCTATCCTAAGTGGATGGCCTCATGCATGCAAGCTCTATAACCAATTTCAGATTTTTATACAGTAAGTTTTGATATTCAGTGAGCTATGAGTTGGTCAAGCAATGATGTCCTTTGGTGTTGATAAGAGTGACCACTGCCTGTGGGACCCAGACTCTTAAGTTTTGTCCCAAAGTCAACTTATGTTTGGCTTATCAGTAACATTTGACTGCAAGTGTTATTAGGCATGGGGGTGATCCTTTTGAGACCCTGTCAAGTTTCTTAGAGAGATAAACAACTGGTCCTGCCGCAGGATGCTACTTTCTGGGTGAGCACCCAGCTGTTCTACTTTTCTTTCTTTTTTCTTTTTCTTTCTTTCTTTTTTTTTTTTTTTTCTGATCCATACAGTTTAAATGGCTTGGCCAGGTCAAATGGCTTGATTCCAGACCTCCCCATGATTTTTTCTTTAGTCTCATGAAGAATTTTGGTTTGGCTGTATTTCTATTCAATTGGTTTGTTCTCTCTTAGTAACTTAATATAATGGTTTGGCCAGTCTGTATGTTTCACACAGTCTTTCACAGAAATTCTCATGATTTTTATCTGACTTCTGCATGAACTCAGGTACTTTGCATATGTTTATGGCTTTCTGGCTCCCTTACACTGACAGAGACAAAGTTAAGGTTGAGTTCAGCATACAAGAATGAAACCATTTAGCAGTCACTTACAAATATCTGCAAGTTCTGGATTTCAAGGCTAAGGTTCATACTATGAGAACATTACTATTCCTACCTACAGACTCAGACAGTATTCTTAAGATAATACTTAGCTTTAAGAGTCTGTACAGGAAAGGGAGAGAAGCAAGATGACTGCAGAGTAACAGCTTCTTTGCAAACAAGCTCAGTGAGATTGAGAAGAGAAGACTCCAGGTACCTCAGGCTTGTGGAGTTTTCCCAGAAACATCCCTTCAGGGATTCAGGAAGACAGTGAGAGACTACTGGACCCCAGGAGGAGGACAAAAGCAGTGGAGAAGTGGCAAGTGATTGCATTCATTTGGTCTGAGGCCATGGTGCCTGCTGTGGCTGTAGCTACAACAGCAGTGAGATTGCAGACAGGGAAGGCCTTCCAAGCAGGTTGTTTTGGTTTTTTAGACTTGGGCACTTGGGTGAATTACCTTGGGAGAACTTGATTGAGAGCGCAGATGACTTTAAGCATTGTCCAGGGTCTGGGATTGAGTTGCTGGGCCAGAACAGAGCTATCATTGTTTGGCTGTGGGCTGCAAGCAGCCATTGTGGGAGAGCTTCTCTGCAGGCTCTGTCCTCAGGGTGGCAGAGTGAGGCCAGGCTTGGAGACCTTGGGTGAGTGATGTAGTAACTGTGAATAGCACCAAATG